CGATACATCTACAAATTAATTAGAAAATATTTGTCATTTCTGGAGTTTTAAGGAAATTGAGGGATATAATCCAACAGAAAATAAAAATTTGTGGAAACTTTACTCTGACTTTCAATTTAAAAATTAAAAAAAAACTTGATTTCCAAGCTGTCCATTAATTGGCTCTGTTAAAATAAATTTATTAAATTTTGGTTTTATTTTTTTCTCAAATTCTGTATCCACCAACATTGAATTTAAATGAAATAACTAATAAAATTGAAAAAATATTTTTAGCTAAGACTTTATACCGTTTCGGTTTCAGTTCTTTTTAAAAACAATTTTTTAATTTCAAATTTTTCAATATCTTCCTTTGTTTTATTTTTTGGCAATTTGTTAATTAAAACAATTAAAATTAAAAAAATAATTATTGTTTTTAAAAATATAATTATTAAATTGGAGAAAGAGGACATTTTAAATTAAAAAAATAAAATAGGCCCTCTCTACAAAATAAATCAAATATTAGATTACCTAAATTAAGATACGCTTTTCAAAATTTTCTTGACCATTTATTGAAGGAGTAACCGTTCCCCTATACAGATAAAATACCCTCCCCCCTCCAATCATATGGCTATATCTCGTAGAGAGGTCCATTTTATTACCTAATAAAATTTTCTTTTAATTATTCAGCAGGAAAAAACCACAAAAAAATAATATTTTTAAATTGTTCAAATTCTAAATCCTTCTCTATCCACGCAACAGGATGATTTATTAACTTTTTAATATTTATTAGATAATATCTTGTCATCTTTTTAATTAAATATATTTTTTTTTTAATTATTTGGGTGGTCTTTCTATTTATTTTTTTTATTTAATTGTTTTATCTAAAATAATATTAGAAATTATTTTGAAGAAAAAAAGAATGTAAAATATTAACACGAGATGAAATTATGGATGATGGGCTTTTTAAATAAAAATATTTTCATTAATACACAAACAAATTAAAATCATTTTTACATAAAAATTAGACAAAACTTGTAAATCCTTTTAAATGTTTATTGCCCTTTTCCACGTTTAAAATTATTTTTTTAATTAAAATACCTATTATATTTTGAATGTTTTTTCGTATTATTTTCAAACAAAAATTATTTTTAGTGAAATATTCAATGGAAAATTGGAAAAGAATTTTTATTATTTTATTTATTATAACAATTTTATTTATTTCATTAAAATATTGGCAATCAGAATTTCTAATTGAAAATTCTGTTTTTAAAGAGGAAAGCAAAATTGAAGAAAATTTAATTAATTTAAATAAAACAAAATGTAATAAATGCCCAAAATCAGAAAATTTAAGAATTAAATTTTTTGAGGAAAATTCTGATAAAAATAAAAATTATTGTGAAGGAGAAAATGTAAGAAATAAAAAATAAATTTAAAATATTAATTTATTTTTATTTTTAGATGGCATATCCATTATTATTAAACAATGAGGATTGTTGTGAAGTTAAATGGGGAAAGAAATTTAATTGTGATTTACTTAGAATTCTGGAGAAATATAAATTAACAGACAGAAGACATAGAATTATTGAAAATATTCCAGTAAGTAATATATGTAGTCAGTGCTGAGGTATGTCTGGATCCGGTTAAGTAAAAATCTCTGCCCCTAAGTTAGAATGGAGTTGGATATTACTTATAAAATACCGGTCAGAGACAGAAACAAGATAAAGAATCCCCGAACACATAACAAATTTAAATATTTAAATAATTTCCCCCTTTTTCCGGTTCATCATTTGGAAGATGGTTCTGTAATTGTAACAGCTTCTAATACAAAATATTTTCCTTTTATGAAAGCTAGTATTTATGATATTCGATTTCATTTGGGAACAAAAACAAAAATAATTGGTTATGATTTAGGTGGAATTACAGAAAATAAAGAAATGGTTTTTTTCTGATTTTAGAAAAATTATTTAATTAATTAAAGATGAACGAATTAGAAAAAGTTTGTAATTTTGAATGGCGAAAATTCAATTTTTCTGTTCTTCCTGAAACTGTAAGAAAACCAACAGTTTTTGCATGGAAAATTGTAATCATTGCGGTAAATTTTTTTAAATATATACAGTGTCAGACCTTATCATAAAAAACGTATAACAGAAAAATGGTACTTATAATGAGGTTATGTATGAGGTTATAATGAGGTTATTTTAAAAATGACGGGAAGTTCCCACTATTTAATAATCAACCAACTACATATGTATTGTTTGGGGGTAACATTTAATGAGTTCAACACATTAATTGTAATAATGACTATTTTTATTGGGGATAATTTTTAAATATTTTACCTAAGATTTTAAATTTTCAAATAATTTTTTCAAAGGAAATTTTAAATGAGTATCCAACAATGATATATGCCGATGCTGGTGTACGATTTTATTATGACGGGTTTAATAATTATTTTGATAGAATTGAGGATGGAACAATTAGTGGATTACAAATGCCTAGTGATTCTGGGCATAGTATTGCCTTTGCTACACATCCAGGTAATTAAATTAATAAATATTAATATAAATATTTAAAGATTTTTACAAATATATTCCACATTATTGGGAGGAAATGTCAGAAAAGTCGCTGAAGGAAATGCATGAAGCTAATTTCATGATTATTCATAGGAATGAATATACAAGGAAATTATTAAAATGGTTTGAATATAAAAAAATAATACATTCAGTGCTCACTAAAAATACCCTCAATACAAGATAATCTTAATCTAAGATATGTTTGTCTAAATTTAGTTGGCCACTCGGTGGCTGGGCTGTCTAAGTCACCATTTAAAATACAGATTATAAAATACAAATTTTTTACCTCTAGGGGTTACCTTTTAGTATTAATTTTGTAATTTTAGGGCAATATTGTGTGCATATACATTAGAATGTATAGACCCTCCAGGCTCTACAATAGTTTGTCAACATCCTTACATAGGCATTGCAAAATGTCATAGACAAGATCAAAGTATTATAAATATTTTAACAAATAATTTGGAAAAAGAAATTTTATTGGAAGGTTTTTATATAATTTTATTTTAAAAAATATTTAAATATTTAAGGAAATGAAAAAAAGTTTTATTCCCATTATGATGATCAAAATCCGAGAATATATCCAAATGGGTTTTTTAATATAATGAGAAGATTGCCCCTTAGAAGAGATTTTAATTTTGAAAAGGCTGTAAAATGTAATTAAAGAACAGTGAGATCTCAATATAAAGATACACATTGAGGTTGGAAAATTGTATCTTATAATGAGGTTATTAATTTTAGAGTAATTTATTTTATTATTAGTTCAATTTTTATTATTACCCTTGGGTATTTTTTGTTAAATACAGTAATAATTACATATTAATTAATATTTAAGATAATTATACCAATTATTTAATTGTATGATATACTTAATTATTCATATTTATTATGTAATATTTAATTGTAAAATAATTAAAAATAAATTTTTTTATCTTTCCAAAAAATATATTCACATTTAAATAAAAATTCCGCGCAATAAGGTTTTGTGAAAATCGATTTTGTCACATGCACACGCCAGCCGCCCTTTTCTTATTCTCAAACATAAACAACAAAGTGTTTATTTTCAAGAAAAAAATTTTTTGAATGGTCTTTTTTGACTTTTTATTATTAAAAAAATAATATTTAAATAAACATAGTTTTTTTATTTTTAAATATTTCTACCTAATTATTAATTTACAACATCTAAAAATGAAAAGGTAAGCGAAAAAACTGACTGAAATAAAAAAATAAATTTGTAGAGTTGATTTTCTTAATCCTGGAGAGACTTACGAAATTTATGAAAAACGTGCACATTCTCCGTTGAATTATCCCCGATCAAGTTCTTCTCCAATACAAAATTATCACTCTCCTCAACAACAACAATATATTATTCCTTCTTCACCTTCATACACCTTTGTTCCAATTCCAGAAAAGAGACAAAAAAGTATTTAATTATAAATGAATAATAAAAAATACAGTTGAACCTCCCCACTATAGGATACACCATTGGGGCTAGAAAGACCCGAGAAGGTACCCTTTAAATGGGGAGGTATCATTTAGGAAATAAGCTTCAGGGCTCAGCTTATTTCTTTTTTTATTTTTTAAAGTCTCTATTTGGTGGATAATTGGAATAGCTACACTTGCCCCTATATTTATTGTTGTTATGCTTTTTCTTGCTGTTTGGCTTCAGGAAATGGGAATTATTTAAACAAGATTTACCTCATTACTCTTAAAAATTTTTTATTAATTATATATATTTTTTTCAAAAATAAAATTACTCGTTTTTAATTTAAAAAGTGTTAAATTAATGAAATGTTTTCCATAAAGTACATGCCTGAAAATATTTTTTGAGAATTTTAAAAAATCAAATTTTACCAAATTATGGCCAAGATTACTAAATGAATTAGGCTTTGGTGATATTTCTTCTACATTAGATTGACGACTATTTTGTTGTCGTTGCTGTTCTTTAGGTGAAGGCAATCGACGGACTAATGCACTTAAAATAGAAAGGAAATTATAATCTCCAATTTGTGACAGTCGGTCCTCACTTAGAAGATACACCTTGGGGCTAAATAATTGTGGAGGTATATTTATGAGTGTATCTAATAGTGAGGACTAACTTCACAGACGCTTTATTAACCTAAAAGGACTATGTTCTCTTGCAGATTGTGTTGTTCTAGAACCAACAGAACTCCTTGCACGACCACCACCAAATAATAATGGAGGAAGGTGTGTTGTGCTAGAAGGGGGGAATGAAGGCCTGCTAGGTTGTTCAAGTGATAAACTATGTAGACATCCACGCTAAATTAAATAAAATTAAAAATTTTTTTAATAAATGAAAATCACCTCAATCCATGACTTTCTTCTCACTTGATTAACAACACCTGTATTTCCAATTCCACCAAAAGTTGGTCCGGTAGGAAGAACACTTTCATCAGACAAATCACTTCCATTACCTTTTATGTTTGTATTGAAAAAAAGTCGGGTCGGGTTTTGGGAATTCAAATTTCTCAGGTCGGAAAAAAGCCCGTGTATCGGGTAACCTATTCCTGTTATACAGTTGAATCTTACTATAAAATACACCCATAACTACTATATACATCTCTAACGTTTTTTAAAACTTGGTCGGCCACAGAGTGAGAGAGATGCCCAAGTGATACCCCAGATACCCCCTACTTGTAGGATACGATTTTTCAACACCAAAAATTTTTTTCATGTCTAACTGTATTTTAAGCATTTTTAAAAAACTTACAAAGTCTTAAAGAGACTTCAGATTCAAGTGAACATCTCGAATCTTTTGATTCTCTTCTTTCAGTTAAAGCGCCTGCTACCGATCCAATACCCCCACCCCTATCCTCTTCAAGTCGACCATCTGCCGAAAGAAAAGACATTTTACGACTGTCCCCACCAATTGAAGGCCTTGTTGCCGCAGTAATTAATAAACGGGGAAGGTGATTAGAAGACATTGAAACACGACGATTACAGAGACGGCGACTATAAATAAATTTTAGAAGTAAGAAAAATTATTAAAAAATTCAAATTTGCAAATTCAAAAAACTTAAAAATATATTAGAAAATAACCTACTAATTATTTTCCTTTAGTTGAGTATCATCCGAATCGTAACGAAGTTGTTCAATTATATCCAATAAAATTCGAGAGGAACTCATTACCTTAAATTTATATTTTAGTAGTTAAAATTTTTAATTAAAATATATATTATTAGTATGTATATTCTGGAATTCTAGTATTTTAACATTACACAAAATCTAGGTAAGACAATTTCTGCCTGATACATATAGTAACTTAAAGGCACTGATTTGTGAGGGAATACTCTCTTTCATTAGACCAATTTTCAGCCAATTATCGTTTAATGTTAAATTCTTTATTTAATTTCCAAAAATACAAACATCGTCAAAATGAGCAGGAGATATTTCCGGCAATGCCAAACCAAGAACCAACTAAAAATATAATAAGGATAATATTTAAGCAGATTTTTTAAAATTATTGTTAAAAAATTTATTCAAAATTAATAGATTTGTGATTTTAAGAGACAAAATTAAATTAGGTATCTAACTTTGCCTAACTTTAACTTTTCTTCTATTTGCTAATCTTGTCTATATTTTGGAAATTTTACAAAATTCAATAAATATTTTGATGATTTCCAGTATCTTTCCCATCCCTAATAATAATCCCTATTTAAAAAATATTTATTTACAGGATTAAGTAAATGATGGGCAATAACAAGAGGATCACTAAAGCGGCTAACATCACAAGTTAAAATTCTTTGAACAAGACGGGATTTTGAATGGACTATAGCTGGATGTAATGTTGAGCAAACTGAAGACAAAGTTAATAAATATTGAAGTGTTTGAGTATCACAACGATCACTTAAATGTCCAATAGCTACAAGTAGATCTATTTGCCGCTTAAAATTTAAAAAATTTTAATAGAAAGAAGGGAAAAACGAGGGGAGACAGCTAATACAGTCGAACCTCAATATAAGATAAAATAACCAAAAATAAATAAATTTTAATTTAAGATACGATCTCAGTAAATTGATTTAATATTTTGATAGGAGACGTATACTTAAGATAAACTTCATTATAAGATACAATTTTCAGCCCAAAGTGTTATCTTATAATGGAATTTGATATTATATTATTTAAATAAATAAATTATTAAAAACATACAGAAACTTGCTCTTGAAAGAATTGGGCTTGATTTTGTAAAGTAGGAATTAATCTTTTACTTAAATAATTATTAGGAATAAATTCAACAATATGAGGTAATGTACGGACAGAATTTTGCTTTAAAAATAATAAAATAATTATTTAAATTATTTTTTTAAGAAAAACCTTTAAATGAGGATCCGTTCCATTAAGAAAATAAATTAATAAATCTAAACAGCGATCTTCTACTTGTTCATCACTTAAACGTCTTAAAATAATTGGCATGTGTGAAAGTAGAGATTGACTTAACTACAAGGATAATTTTTTAAAATTTAACTCTTATTTCTCCCATAAAATCAAAACACATACAGATTTTTCTTCAGCTGCAGCAACAATTTGTCTAAACCAGGGCCTCAATCTGTGTATATTGTGACTTTCACAATTCTTTAAAAAATTATAATTAATTTTTAAATAAAAAGCATACTTTAAGCATATAACAAAGGGGGCTAATTAGTGCTGGCATTAATTCTGTTGTCCCCTGTAAATGTTCATTAAAACGACGAAGCACTCTTCTAAACCAAAGAGATTCTGGGATTTGCGGGAGAATTGCACTTAGAGACTTGAAATTTTTTAAAAATATTTTTAAAAAATATTTTAAATTTATTTACATGTCTAAGAAAGGCTGCTTTATTGGCCGGGTCAAATTCTTGTGCCAAATCATCTAATTGTCTTAAAGCACCAAGTGATGGTTCATCAAAGTGTTTTATCTTTAATTTTAAATTTATATTTAATTAAATATTTATTTTTAACTAAAGCAAGCATTTGAATAGCCGGACGTTGCTCTACTTCTTTAGATAAAACTTTGACAAGTGATGCTTTTAAATTAGGTCCAAGTTCATTAGCAATTAATTGTAATCCAATATCTAATTGTTCTATTACTATTTGATAACTTTCCAAATTATTTTTAACATCAATAATTCTTTTTCCATCTTAAAAAATAAATTTAGTTACTTAGAATGGTAATTCTATCGAATCTCACTAAAAGATACTCCCCTTGGGCACCTAATGACCAGCATTAAAAGCGTATCTTTAATTAAGGCAAAGACTATAGAGAGATCCGACAGTATGTCGTTTAGGACCCATTCCCCATTTTTAAATGGATTAATTATGCAACTTAAAACGCTAGTTAAAAAGGGCCCAAGTGACATTATCATAATATTTTTACTTGAATAAATCCAACAAATTAGAACACCGAGCGAAAACACATCAGCAGCCAATGTTACTGTTTGTGCATTTTGAATTAAATACTCGGGAGCAAGAAACTGAAAAAATAGATACAGATACCTATTAAATTAAATATACATCCAAATCTGGTTGAAGACAGGCTGGAAGTTTTTTAGTCCAAGGAAAGCAAGGAAATATTCCCTTTGAAATTAAGGAAATAATTTAAAGAAAAATTAATTTACAGGCTTTTTAGGCGCTACAGAGAAAGCAAATCCTCCAATTTTCCAATGCTGAAAGGAAGTAACGAAGACAGCCTGAGGTGTCAAATTTCCATGAAGGATTTTTGCATTATTGTGTAAATAAGAAAGTCCCTCAACTAATTGTAATACCCCCAATTTCATTTCCAATTTATCTAGAAGTAATTGTTTACTATCTTCTTCTGATTGACTATTAATATTAAAATGCTGTTCATCTTCTCTTTCGAGTAATAATTTATCTAATGTACAATATAAAGGTTCACTTGCAAAACCAATCAGTTCTCTACAAAATGAGATTAAATTACAATCTCCAATAAATATCAATTTTTAAGATATTGTTTTTGAATTTGGTTGACGATTAGAGGAAGGAAGCTGTCAATTATATACTTCCCAAGAATGTATTAAATAGTGAGGTCCGATGTGTTTTAATATATTTTTGAAAATTTCAAACTTATTTTCCACTAAAGGATGTAAAAGTCGTAATATTCGAGGATGTACAAGTTGTTGCAATTGAGACAAATCGTATCTTAATAAATCTGAGAGTCCGAGGCGATTAGCACGACCTAGCCTGGAAGGTCCTTTCACGTTACATTTTTTGTCAAACAAAAGAACAGATGCATCCTGTTAATAAAATAAAAATTATTCTCTCGCTCACAAAATCTCTCAAAAACTTTATCAGTTCCAACAGTTGCTTGTGCAGTAAAATGATGCCAATGACCAGAAAGTATTTGACCTGTAGCTTGAAGGCAATGAAATTGTGAGTCTAAAGGTGTTGGCAATGCAGGCAATGTGGACGAAGTGAAAAAACGGTGAGGAAGTAATGGAAGACCAGTGACTGAAGAAATGGTAGAGGAGGTAGAGCAAGTTGAACCACTCCTTTTTGCGCCTCCATTAAAGCCCGATTTAGAATTGGAACGTTGTTTCTGTTGAGGTGATTGAACTCTAGATGAAGGTCTTAAAAGAAAATTTATTAAATTTCGATGTAATTTTATCTAACCACCTTTGGTCTATAATTAATTCATTTTTTAAATGCCCATTTCCAGTTAATTCAGCAGCTGATAAAGTCCCAGGACTGGACGCAACTCTCAACGGGGTTTCGCTGGTAATATCATTGTTGCTTATAACTAGCTGGTAAACAAAAAATTTATTAAAATATTTTTTCAATTTTAAATATTACTTGGTGAGGATATGGAGATTTTGATAATTCTCTTGTTTCAATCTTTCCACTCATGGGAAATGCATTTTATTGCGACAAGATGAATTAAAGAATTTTAATAAAATTAAAAATAATCCCTCAAAAGGATTATCTTGGAAGAATTATTTTAAAAATATTTTAAAATTAATTTTCTTCTGTGGGGAAAAAATTAACAGACTTAAAAAATATATTAAAAATAATTTTAATTGAGAATGTGTATACAGTCAATACTATCCATTTAAAAATCGGATCTAGACAAGTTCGGATTTAATAATCAAAAACTTTATTTCAAAAATGCCAAGTGATATTCTTCTTAACTAAAACAAAAAAATTGTCAATTTATTTATAAAAAAGCTATTTTCATTTTACAAATTACAAAAAAATAAGGAGAAGCATAGTATATGTAATTCTTATGCATTTAATAGATGTAGATGAAAGGAAAAGCAAATTACCTATGAAAATGGTAAGCGCTCAGCCGGAAAGAAATGAGCGAAAAAAGGGCATAAACACACACACATCTTACGCAATTCTCTCTTTTTTTAAATAAATTAAATATAGTTTCAAAAATATAAAGATAATAAATACAATTTATTGAAACAATTTATAATTATTTTCTTTTAGAAAACTATTTTTAGAAATATTTAAATAAATAATTTTTAAAAACGTAATTTAAATTCGTAATTAAAAATACGTAATTAAAAAGTTTATTGAATAAAGATGGAAGTCAAAGGTGTCGGAAATTAGAAGAATATGACTTTCAAAAGTTGGTTTGTCACCAGTTTGAGAAGCTGCCTAAGCAATACCCCTGAGCTAACTTCATTGCCCCTCACCCTCATTCACATAACGTGATCTGCCTGGTCACTAATTTTTAATTATTTTTATTAATAAAAAAATTCGAGTAATGCAACTAAGAATTCAAGGAAAATTAAAAATAATATAAATTTTAAGAGGAAATACATATTTCGTATAAATATTTATTCTTTTGGAAAGTGAAGATAAGAAATGCTGAAAAATGCGCTAAAGGCAAACAAAAGCCGAGAATGCAATTAATGGTATATAAAATTGTGAGGGAGTTTGTTGGAGGTTAAAGTGAGTGGGTGGAAAAAATAAGGAAAGAATGAAGGAGATGGATTGAGAGAATTTAATTTGGCATAAAATATGCTATTACTTGGAACAAAGAAGGTCATATTATTATTAACTAAAAATAGATGAAAGAAAAGCTAATATTTTTCAACAGTTAAAACTAAATATAAGCCTAAATCTATTTAAGAAATTTGGTTGGCTATCAAAGCAATACCTCCTTTTTAAGGTACACACCTCATCTAATAGAACCTACGGCCATTTGGTCTTGGATAGTGTTTAAGCCTGATTTTTAATTGACAGCTGGATGGCAAAACTAAATAAATTTAAAATTTGAATAGGTTATGGTACTTACATTTTTACTTGTTTTTCATTTTTCATTTTATCGATAAGTATAATAATAATTATACTAAATGTCAGTCCTCATGGGAGGGCATATTCTCTCTCTTTCATCGTCAATATATTTCTACAAACAGTCTCGCTCATTTCATTAGGTTTGCTGACTTTGTCCTCCAGCCGCTCAAGGGTAATTGCTTTCGCGCGGTATTGAGTAAGTCAAAATGAAAGAGAATGGTTTTCATGTGCAAGCTATATACTGAAATAGTTAGGTAATAAGAATGAGTAGATAAAAGGAATTGGCAAAAAACGTTGAATAAAATGTAATAGCTTGAGGAAGTAGAAAATATAATGAAAAAGGGAGGGAGATGGCAAGATGTTAGCACTCTTCTTAAAATAAAAGAGTATCCAACCTAGATGACCCTAAACCTATCGAGAAATCGAGATTGAGATCGAGGTTATATCGATGTCGAATCTTATTCTCAAGACCTGTCACAAAGACATGAAGGCAGCTTGTTGGGGATGAATGTCAAAATTGTTAAAAGCTGAAAGATTAGTTGAAAGTTTTAAAAAATTTGGAATGAAAGGTAAGAATTTTATTAAATTTCCAGCATTTTATATTAATTAAAAAAATTTTCTAAAAATATAATAAAGCATTTTAATAAAAAACGAGTGTTTGTGTCAATCTTAATTTAATATTCTCTGTGGAAATTTTAATATAGAATTAATAGAAAAGTGAAATAACAGGAATGAGAAATAAAATTTTAATTTAATCTACATACTATGTACATATGTTGAATTTTATTTTAGATTTTTGAATAAATTATTTAGATAATCTTTTTAATTTAAAAAATTAACATATTTTTTAATTTAGGTATGTCCAAAAAATAATCTAAATTAACCTAAACATTTTAAGGACAATTAATGAGTGGGGGGGGGGGGTTGTATGGATGTGATTTGGAGATTTGATACTATCATACTAATTTATATTCTCGCATATGTAAAACAACAAAACTTTTAAGATAAAACAATGGAAGCTAAAAGTGTAAAATCTCCTAGTATATAAATGTTTAAATCATGAGAGTTTAGCTGTTCTCTCTATCCTAAATCCGTCTTAATGCAGCTACTTATTGTTTCCGGTAAGTTAATTTTAATCCTCTGTTCAAACTCCACAAAAATTTTCAAAATTTTAGACGGATGCATTTTGGAAAACCGCTGGCCGTTTTGGACATTAATATCTTTTGTTATGTTTCAGTCCATCTGGCTTTTCATCTTCTTGATCACTTGTTGCTGTGTTGCAGTTAGACAGGCAGAGGAGGAATATCCGGAGAAAAAGATTGTCAAATCTCAGATAAAACAAGTGAAATGTTGCTACAAAATTGAACTTTAAAAATCTTTTTTTAGAAAACTCAAAGTTTGCCTTCGCCCAGTCGCCCACCTTCTCCATCGCCTAAAAAACAATCCAAGTCAAAGGATTCTAAACCCAAAAAGAAACACGAGCAAAAACAGAAAAAGGAAGAACCAAAACACGACTTGGAGACAGCTGCCTATCTTACTCAGACATTTTATCCAATTCCTTTGGAACCGGTCGGAACTCAGAGGACACCAACTTCTCAGAGTGAGCAATGCATGCCAGCGTCGATTTTGGTTGTTCGTCCACCTTCTGACGAAATATTGTCGCCAATAGTCGAAAAAGGACCGGAACGAGTTGAAACGGCAAAAAAGGTCGAACAAACCCCTTCGATTCCATCAAATAAAGGAGGGAGTAACGAAGATATTCACGTGGAAACATTTCCGGTAATTACCATCTCGGCAGGACGTGAGTTTTTGAGAAAATGATTTTTTAAAAATATAAATTTCTGTTTATTTAAGAAGAAGGCGATATTGAAGCTGTAATACGTCAATCACTTAAAGGAGGTCAATTTGAATTTCCTGAGAAGAAAATTAAAGAAGGGAATATACGGCACCAGATGAAGAGTGTTTGATAAATATAGTGGATTTGTATTATTTAATTGTTTGTTTTTTGTTTGTAAAAATTATTGTTGTCTTAATATTTTAATATAAATTTAATTTCTGTCATTAAAATTATTTGGTTAATAATATTTTAAAGTAGAGTAGTCCGAGTTCGATCGAATACGAGTTACTCAACACGATCAATCGGGATTTTTTCGTCTTTAATCGAGCTCGGAACTCGGGATCCTAATACTTACTCAAACTCGATCTTTCCCAATTACTAGGTACTCGACGTACTCTTTTTTTAAGTTTCTATAAAACATTCTGTAATCAAAAAATGTTAGTTAAATTTAAAAAATTCAATTTAAATTCAATTCTTTAAAAAATTTTTATTAGCATTCTACTACTCATAATCCTTTTCTTTTCCTAAATTTACCCATTAGTTCTTCTCACAATTTATTTTACCCTTCCATTCTTTACATTTTTGAAGGTAAAAATAAGGGATTTATTCATACATTTTTTCTTTTCTTATTAAAAAATGAAATGAATTAAAAATCCAAAACAGTTGTTATTTTAGTTAAGTATTGACTTTTATTTTCTAATTTATATGAGATTTTATTCGAATAAAATCAATTGTTTTCTTGCTGATATATTTTTAATCTTTCTTTCATTTCAGCTTAATAAATTCAGCTTTTTTCTAAACTTTATTTAAAAATTTATGCTAAAAATCATAAACAATTCTATATTTTATATTATTTTTCCTTCCTTTTAAGATTATTTCCCCTGGGAGGCAATCTGCTTTAAGTCGTCAAACTTGATTGAATTTTGGAAATGTCATTCATAATTTTAGAAAAAATAATAAATTGAATAATTCATACACACATATGATCAATTTTTGAAACCATTATTATTAAACAAACACACAAATATTTTAAAAAGAGAATAACAATATTATTAGTAATTTAATAAATTTACTATACCTATTTTATTTTCTTTCAATTTATTTTTTATTAATTTTCCAACTTTATTTTTTCAATTTAAGAAGTTCCCTATCATCACTTGACTATTATCTCCCAACAATTAAATGATATACCTTAATTTAAGATACGGTTTTTTGAAATTTTGTTTAGTTAACTAAGCGATACCTCTTTTAATTTAGAATATTCCTCATTTTAAATATTTTTTAGCTTTAAGTAAGGAGGTTTAAATCAACAATTTCATAATTATTCTAATGTAAAAAAGCGTTAAAAAAATATTTTTTAAAGCTTAAATTACGGGATATATCTACATATAATGATCGATTCTCTTAATGAAAATAAATAGCCTTTAGCAAAATAAGGGGAATAATAAATAAAGATTATTTTTATTTTTAATTATTAATTATATCCATTTATTTTTGATGGATTTTATATGAATATTTTTGAGATAAAATCCTAACGGGTTTAGGTAAATATATTTCTTGATATTTTTAGAAGAAGATATTTATTAAAAATTTTATTTTTTTTTAATTTTTAAAATTTAATTTAATTTAAATAATCACAAACACTGAAATTAAATATACATATGTAATATATTTAATTAATAAATAAATTAACTAACAATTCCCCAATAATTGTCTCTCGTTCATACTTTTTGGATTTTAATTAATTTCATAAATAACAATTAAAAATAAAGGAGTTAATACTTTTCCAAATAATAATCTTTCAATTAAAACTAATTAAGCATTTACTATCTGTTTAATAATTCTCAGATTTTACTTTAATAGACAAAACAAGATTACCGGATTTTAAACAAAATTTTGATCGAGGCTTTTAATTTATTTTTGATAAATTAATTTTAATTTTTAATCATCAAACCTAAAATAAATTAAAAAAAATTTTTTTTATTTCTTAAAATAATTCTCAAAATATTTTTTTTAATTTATTGACAGCTTTGATTGACTAAATTTTAATATTTTTTGTTTTGTTTTTTGGCTTATTTGTTCTTATTTTTCATGAATAATTACTCACTTTCTTTCTTTATTCTTCTTTTTCTTTCCCTTTCATTCTCAATTAGCCATGCAAAGAATTTATTCTTAAAAAGCTGCTCCAAGGCTTTTTCCCAAGCTTTAAGAAAGAAATTGACAAAATTTCTGTTTTGGCATATTGATGATTGTTGACAGCTTTTTCTGTTTTGGTTTTTTTTTTAGTTTTGACTTTTTTCTAAAAATTTAGCATTATTTGTTGCTTTTTAGGTTCATTACAAATTAATGGAAATATACCTAAAAACTTTTTTAATAGGAGGAACATTTTGTTAATTTTTAGAACTTCAAAAATTATTTAAAATTAGTCAAAACCCCACAAAAAATTCTAATGAGCCTTGAAGACGGTGCTATCTCCCTTTTTACTCAAAAATTCCATTATAATATTTGGCCTATTAATTTATCTTATTTCTCTTATTCTACAAAAGGAAATAGCAAAGTGAGTGAAAATACTTTGAATAATACATTATGTACAAAAAAATATTTCTCAGTGTTTGTGATTAAAAATAATTTTAAAATTAAATTAAAATATTTATTTTCACCTTTAATATCTTTAACATTTTTCTGTTTTTTATTTTGTGAGATTTATTTATTAATTTTCCATATTATACAATAATTATTATCCTTTTATAAAAAATTTAAAAATTAAAGGCTCGGCCTGAATGTATGCGCTTTCTGGTCCGGCTAGCGCTATTGGGCGTCTTGTTTCTTCTGTTTATTTTGGCGCTCTCAATACACCAAAAAAGAATTCGAAAAGAATTTCCTGAAATAATTCAAAAAAAGAATATTTCTGTTAATAAACCATCAGTTAATACTTTTTTAATTCCTGTTCGTCCAAAAGGAAATTCGAACCAGCCAACAGAAGAAGGTTTTGTTAAATATTTTGTATTTACCTAATATATGTAGTAACAGTCTTCTATTTTAACTTTTTAACTGGGGCATCATCTATCAGAAGAAAAACAGTTAAACCCTAACTTGACACAATCTAATCGTAATATAGACCTCAATTCAAATAAATTTTTTAAGGATTGGTGGAGGTGTTAAAGCGATACTCTTTATTTAGATACACCTCATATAAGTTACAAATTTATCAACCCCAAAGGTTTAAAATTAAAAAAAACCTTAAAATATATTGAGTTCAACTATAATTCAATATTAAGATAAAGAAGCCCGTCGTCTTTTACAACTTTTTGGCGGTTCGTCTGACGACGGTATTCCTGTACCTGCTGGCCATAATCCAATTAGTGGGGGTGGTGGTGGGGCATTTCCCCAATTAGAAACAGCAATAGGTGCTGGTCTTCTTTTCCCCATTGGACGATACCCGCCTGGAAGTGTTCGAGGAAATGCTGTTCGTGGCCAGTTGACTTTGAACGTTGCTGTTGTTCTTATTGTTTCTTTACTTTCCATTGCTGTTTTAATTACTGCAATTTGCTGTTAGTTTTTATTGAATAAAAACGGGACAATTTAAATAAAGCTACATATGTATTTGGGAAACCCCCGCTACACAGGAAACGCTGGTCTTACATTGTTCCGAATTATTTCTCTTTTGTTACTAGATATGATCACCATATTATTTTTAAGTAAAAATAGTGGTTGTTGGGCCTTTTTGTTAATTTTTAACTATTCCGTGAATCCAAGCTCAATAACTACAATTTCATAAAACACAATATAAATTTATTAATTTTCATAGATAAAGTATAATTTAAAGGTGTAATAGTCATAGCGTTAGCTATGGAATCAGCAACTACAATTGATGAATGTCACAACAACAATTCATCTTCTAATGATTTTCTTCTTTCCAGATGGCCTCATTTAATACTTCCTCGGCCACAAATAGATGAAGAAACGGGGTTTAAATAATTTCTAAAAAACATTTAAAATATTATTTTTAAAGTAATCCATTAACTGATGATGAAATGGAGGATTGTGAGGATGTAATTGACACAGAAAATGTTAATAAATGTAATCAAGGACAAAGTTGGGGACAAAAGTTAGTTAAAAAATAAATTTAATATATAATTAAAAAGTATTATCACATTATCTCCCCAGATTTTATATCTTAAGCAAATTGTAAGTATAGTCCACTAGAAATAATTTAATATATGTATCGGGGCAGGAATTTTTTTTAAATTAAATTAAAATTAATTCAAAAATTAAATCTAAAATAAAGATTTAAGCTTTGTAGCTACAGCTTCATTTTCATTTTCCAAGAAGCTACATAATAAAAAATCGTTCTAATGGGATTTTTACTTTTTTTATTTTTATAAAGCCTAAAACAAAAGGAAAACATTAAAATTTGGGGAGATAATGCTTTAATACCAAAATTTAATATTTAATTTTTAGTAAATCGGATCTTGAACCTTTAATTGAAAAAGGAATTGAAAGAGACAAAAAATGGCTAAGGAAAAATAAAAGTGAGAGCCATGAAGTTGGAAGGCCTAATATATTTATTGTTTGAATTTTAATTAGAAAATGGAAGTTATTGCCTCATCTTCATAATTTTGTGTACAAACTCCCAAAATATTTTTATTATATTTTTTATAAATAATTTATGTTTTTGCTCAATTTGTTATTAATAAATATCCATAAAGATTTTACTTTAACATTTTTAATATATTAATTTTGGGAAAGTTTAAAGACGTATTTAATTGGAAAGTTTATTTATTTATGCGGAGGTTGTTATTTGATGGAGGTTAACTATGAGATGCTTTACGAATATATCCAATTGTTAACAAGAACAATCCAATCTAAATATTGGTAAAATCTTTTCTCACTTCTTCAATACAATATAAAATTATAAAATTTAATATATGTATCATTATTTAGTGATTGATAATAATGTTACTCTGGATTGTTACTCTGGAGTAGAGATCGGACCAAGCAAATATTTGACGTTGGAAAATCAAATATTTTCAAATATCAAATAGTTTGATTTGATATTTGATTTTTCTGTTTGTCCGATCTCTACTCTGGAGTTAAAAAACAACTAATATTTAATTATTTATATTATTTTAATAATTAATTTAAATAAATATAATTAAAATTTAAAAATTATTTAATATTTCAATTTTAATTCTTTCGTCTTTAAATAAAAAATAATAATTAAATTAGCGTTCATTATCTGTATTTTTCTCCATTCTTTCTTGACCAGACAAAATAATAGTAACCTATTTTTTCGTTTGTTTTTTACACGACTAATCGACGCCTTTTCTCTCAATGTGCATACCAAAATTTAGTAAAATGCCCTTCATCTTTTTATTTGTAATATTTTATCAAACTGATTGAAGCGTTCCGATAATGATGTAATAAGAGGAATTTGATTAAAAAATATTTTAGTGAGTATTTTTGATAAATTTGTATTTTATTTCCTTGCAAATTAAAGTCAATGTGATATAATTGGATAAAGTGGATCAAGTTGGATAGAGAAACAAGAAATTAAATAAATTTTATCGAAAATTATAGTCTCGGAATAGTTTTGATATTGTTGTTATACTTTATTTTTCTCAAACATTTTTATTCAAAAAATATATATATTTTGATATCAGTCACCAACATCAGTAATGTCCTTCTAAATATTTAGCATACTATTGAGTAAATAAATAAATTGATGAGAATATTTTTTATTGGGAAATCCCTTATCTGACCTTGATTTTTATTGAATATATTTATTTTTATTTTTAATAAAAAACAAAAGGATGAGAAATTTAAATAAAAATTCGATTATGGTATAAACGAGAGAGGAAATGTTCTGTGTTTAAATTTGGAAATAAATTGGAAAAAAGTATTTTTTAATTATTTTAATTTTTTATCACTAAATATTTGGTAGAAATAAAACCAATAAGCCAAACTCTTTTCCAGTACTTTCAAAAATTGCCCCAAAACGCCAGTGGCTGCAAAATGTCAACGCAAATATAAATCAAAGAATATAATTTTAGTTATGATGGTTAGCAAATAAATGAAAGAAAATATGTATTAAATAATAATTAAATAAAAATAATATTAAATTAAAATAAATTCAAAATTTAATAGATGGAAAAAGAAAGCATCTAAAAACATATTAGAAAGCACCTAATTTGGAAAAAAATTTATTACAAAAGTTTTGGGTTCTAATTTGAGTTTCGACCTGTTTTTCCTCATTTAAAGTCAAGCTTCCAAACTTTATTCAATTTCAATATTCTAATTAAAACAAAAATTAAATTTTTTCTAATGACCTGTTTTACTCAAATGAATTCTAATTTCTATTATTATTCTATTCTAAGTTGCGCAGAAATATTAAAAATAACAGAAATTATTACAAAATAAAAGAAAATCCTTTACTTTACACTTTCTCTTTATTTCTAGCCTTCGGCTCTGGCGGAGCATTGTATTTATTTTATTTTTCAAAATATTATTCTTTGTTTATTTTAATGTTTTAATAAAAGTCGGGTACAAAATAAAATTTAAAGAAAAAAAAAGAAAATGCCCTCCTCCTCCTACAAAGAATTGGGGATATAAAAGAAATTCAGTAAACGGCATCTTCAAAAAAATTTTTTCAGTTGATTGTGCAATCCCTATTCCACATTTATTTTCTTCTTTATATTAAAACCCGTTGTTGGTCAACATAGCGAGACCCATAAATTTTATTGTAAAAAGGTTTATATTTAGAAAGGAAATTTTTTCAATAAATATGTAACCGTAATTTAAAGCCTTATTTTCTTAATTTTTTTTCAATTTTTTACATAATATATTAATTTATCATTTTTATATTACCGTCTAAATAGTTTAACACAGTCTACAAAACTTTTTCTAAAATATTTGTAATTCTTTCTTTCGCCTTTTTGGTTAAATTTTTAGTAAAAAATTGGGTGGAGATAGTTGAGAAAATTCTTCAAGAATTTTCTCAATATGTTTTCCAATCTTTAGGAAAGAAAAGATTCTTCTTCAAAAACAATATTTGTATTCCTTTTTTCTTAAACAAAAAAAAATAACCATGGCATTTAATTTTCTAACAATAGGAAAAAATAAAAAATAAATATTTCAACAACACTTTTTTGATCTAAAAACGTTAAAAATCCAAAACAAAATTCCTATTGTTCAATTTTTTTCTTTGTCCTTCTATATTTGGAAAAGCTTTTATTTTTTTTCTAAAAAAACTTTAAAAAACCTGCATAATTGTAAAGACACGGCCGAAGATGTGTACAACACAAGTTGGGGTCCGAAAGCCAAAAAAGTGGGAAAATGGCAATGGACAGACAGACAACAATAACAACTAGCTATAAACACTTAAAAAATTCATCATATTTATTTTAATCCTGTTCAAAAAATTTTTCTGATAGCTTTTAACAAAATAGAATTTCCTTATCAAATGGGACTATTTATCTTTATTTTTTAATCAGAAATTACGGCAGGCCACTTTTTTAACAAAATCTTTTTAGAATTTTTATTTATTTTCACCGGAAATTAACAAAAATTTTTAACACAAATAAATAAGAGAATAAGCTTAAAAAAGATATCAATCACTAAATTAAATTAATTTATGAGTCATGCATTTTTGTATACAGAATTATCTGTTCATTACAAATTTTTGGATTTTTATTCTCTCATTTAACGAGTAATTAATTGGTCATTTTTCTGTTCACTCTAAAAAAGGGCTTTCAACAATTCCTTTATTATCCTTCTCCCTTAAATATTTCAACATCATATCATTAAAAGACTAATAAATAACTACTACTATATCTGGTGATGACGACCCAAATATTTTTCATCCAACCAATTCTCTGCTTTTCCACACATAAATCTCTTTTTACATTTATCTTTTTTCTATACTAGTTAATGACTAAAATCGGTTGAGCGGACAAGTAGTAAATAATGAAAGTAGGTATATTTTATAGTTGCTGCGCCATTTTTTTTTTGATGACAGGTAGTACCACAAAAAACATATCCATCTTCGGCAAAGAAAAAAGTCTTTTTTTCCTTCTTCCTTCATTTAGTAGCTATCAACACCAACCATTCCAATTAAATAAATCTTTTTAATAGTCATTCATCTTTTTAAGCAACGCCTAAAAAGAAAATTATTTAACGCAACCTCTCTAAAAAGAAAAATAAATTGTTTAGTTATAATAAATACCAATTAAGAAATAGATCCAGCAATATATTTATCCTTTGTTTTCGCTAATAAGTTTGTTTTTTTCGTACCTTTTTTAATTTGGTGGCAGGCCATGGGTGGTGCATCTTTGGGATTTTTTGATCACGGGTGGATAGAGACTGGTAGAGGCAACTTTGAGAATGTTAAGAAAGTACATATTTTTGGCCAGAGGAAATCGCTGTTTTGTTTTTCGTTGTTCTTTAACCTTTTAGGCATCAATCAGTTCATCCCCAGTCCCCTCATTATAAACAAGCCCTAAATCCAGCATTCTCTTCTCATTTGGTTTTCATTTTTGTTTTATAATAGGATTTAATTATTTTGGTTTTTATTTTCGTCTCTTTTGTGATAGTCCATAAATTAAACTAAAACATTAAAACAGTTACAAGTATTTGTGTAATCCACTAACATGTTTACTTCCTCAGATAATATTCTCAAAAGTGAATAGTTTATTTGGGTGTTCGGTCAGTATGGTATATCTAGATATACCTTGGTTTACCGATATTTTTATTATGGAAATGCAGTTATTTTCTGGTATTTGTATTATACCGATACTGAATATGTTAACTGTTTTCCGAACATCTTTAGGTAATTTAAATAAAATAAAATAAAACTTCCAAAATTCTTAGAAAAGAAAAGATGATTAATAATTCAAAAATTCAAGTTTACAAAATTAAATATAGAATTTACTAAATTATTAGACAAAAAATATTAATGCGCAAAAGCATTCCCTTTTTTTAAAGTTTTTCTTTCTCCAATTCTCCATTTATTAAATAAAAATTACTTCGTCATTTCTTTATCTTTTTTTAGCAATCTTTAAGGTATAAATAATGAAACGCAATCTCTTTTAGAGAAGAGTATTCTCCATCATTAAACTTTTAGGGCGTTTTGATTTATATATTTTTTTGTTTAAAAAATTCTAGGCGTTCATTTTCTCTTTAAAATGCTCTTTGATTTTACTTTACCCATAAATTTTGAATTTATTCTACTTTTAGCGGAAAGAATGAAAAAATAGTTTTAAATTTATTACAATCGGTGGCTTATTATAATATGTACACCCTTTGGTGTATTTTATAACATTGAGGGGTATCTTCATAGTAAAATTTTGATTGTATTTTTTAAAGATGGATATATTTTAGGTTGGAAATATGCAAAGTAAAGGATGATATTCTTCTCCTGTCAATACCTTGTTTGCAACCTCCCCCCCCCCATCCCACCATTAATTTTTTTTTCATCATCTTTCTTTTCCCAAATTTCAGTGAAAACCCTATAAAATTCCTAATTTTAGAACCTTGTCCCTTTAAAAATTTAAAATTAAAAGTGTAAGCCTTTTCTGTCATTTTCAATTTAACTCAATTACGCATTTTATTCATTTTTAAAAATCTTTCCATTCTTTTATTATTTAATTGTTGACCTATTTAATTAAAGTTAATTTGCGATTCGATTGTTCTTAAAGAAAATAATTTTTAAAAATAATTAACACGATTTACTATTTAATAAAGCAAAAAAATTATTTATAAAAAACTTTTCAGTCAAAAAAATTTTCTTTAAAAATGTTCTCAATCACCAAAACTGCCATATTATTTACAATCTTGTTGTTCACCTCTACTGTTTATGGACGATCAAGTATGTTAAATTAAGCTTTCTGATTTTGTTATGAGATACTTCCAATATTAAATACACCTCATACGTTTTAAAGAATTTAGTTGGTTGCCAATGATTAATGGATTTAAAATTCACTTCATTATTAGATGTACTATAATTTCTTCTGTCCCAAGGGAAATAATAATATAACGAGAATCTTATAATATTCATTATATAGTAATTGCAAACAAGCTAATACTTTTTGTTAGTCGTAAAGCGAAACAATGCTTATGGAGATGAACCAGTTCTTCCATCTGGAGCTGCTGCAGCTTCACCTGTTAGTCAGCCAGAAAGGACGGCAGCTGCTCCCGAAACGGCACCGACCATTGTTGAACAGAAACCGATAGAAGGAGGTTCTAATGCACTTTCTGGAATTGCACCGGCCGCTGAGAAGGCACCAGCACCAGCAGAAGCTGCCGCACCGCAAGCAGCTGCACCTGGTAGATTTTCAAACACTTATTTATTGTAAATACGCACATTTTCAAATTTTAGCTGAACAGAAACCAGCTGAAGCTCCAGCACCTGCCGCCGCACCATCTGCTGCTGAGACACCAGCAGCAGCCGCTCCAACATCAGGTGCTTCTGCTCCAGCCGAATCAGCTGCACCTCAAGGTGCTGCTGCTGCCCAACAACCTTCAGCTGCTGTTCCATCAACTGGAGGAGCTTCGTATAGCGGTGGTGCTGCCGCAGCAGAATCTTCTGCTCCTGCACAAAGTGCTGCTGCTCCGGCCGAGTCTGCCGCTCCAGTACCTGCCGCTGCACAATCTGCTTCTGCACCAGCTGAACAGAAACCTGCCGAAACTGCACCAGCTGCTGCTCAAGTAATTTTAAACAATTGTTGAATGATAAGAATGTCGAGATTATTAAAAATTTAAATCGTATCTTCGCTATTTCGCTTTTCGTTTTTTCAGAATGCCCCAGCACCTGCCGTTGCACCATCGCCTGCTGCTGAAACACCAGCAGCAGCCGCTCCCTCATCAGGTGCTTCTGCTCCAGCAGAATCAGCTGCTCCAGCCCAAGGAGCTGCTCCAACAGAACAGAAACCCGCAGAAACTGCACCAGCACCCGCCGAAGCTGCGCCAGCAAAATCTGCTGCACCGGCTGAGGTGATATCATATAATCAATATTATTTAATTTTCTAATACATACATATTTGTACCTTGATTTTGAATATATTTATCATTATTTTATAGGCTGCACCAGCCCCTGCTGCCGCCGCTTCCCCAGCCGCCACAGGAGGTGGATATAGTGGCGCTGCTGCAGCAGAATCAACCGCTCCTGTCAGTGCTGCTGCTGCTCCATCACCTGCTGCAGGTGAAGCGACTGCTCCATCCGCAAACGCTGCCGCAGCTCCAGCACCAGCTGCTGCTGCTCCTGCCGAAAGTGCTCCAGCTGCTGCTTCACCGCAACAATCACCAGCAGCTGCTCCAGCTGAAAGTGCTCCAGCTGCTGCTGCACCTCAACAATCACCATCCGCTGCTGTGCCTGCTGAAAATGCTCCTGCACAAGCACAACCTGCCGCTGCCCCATCACCTGCTGCTGAGGCCCCTGCAACTGGAAGTGCTGCTCCAGCATTTGTACCTTGATTTTGAATATATTTATCATTATTTTATAGGCTTCTGCCCCAGCTGCTGCTGCTCCAGCCGCAGGATCTGGATATGCAGCCGCTTCAGAGGCCACTGCTCCAGCCAGTGCTGCAGCACCTTCACCATCTGCCGCTGCAGCACCATCTCCAGCCGAACAAAAACCTGCTGAAACTGCTCCAGCCCCTGCAGAGGTATGCAAAGAGTAATTCTTTACTGACGAATCGATAATTTAATAATTCAGGCTCCCGCTCCAGCCCAAAGCGCAGCAGCCCCATCTCCTGCAGCTTCAGCTCCTTCAGGTGGAGCTCCTGCAGAGGTTGCAGCACAACAACCATCTGCTCAAAATGCCGCCGCACCAGCTTCAGGGAATTCCCAATATGGAGGTGCTGCTGCAGCTGAGTCGTCTGCTCCTGCTGCCGCTGCTCCATCTCCTGCTGCCTCGGAATCAGCACCAGCAGCCGCTGTACCAGCAGAGTCAGCACCAGCAAAATCAGCTGCTCCTGCAGAGGCAGCACCAGCACAACCTGAGGTATTTTAAATATGGATACGATAAGTTGTATTCAACATCTCTCTTTCAGTCTGCACCAGCTCCAGCAGCTGCTCCATCACCAGCCGCCGCTCCTGCTGAAACTCAAGCAGCTTCTGCCCCTGCACCTGCGGCTGCCCCAGCTGAATCCGCTGCACCAGCTCCAGCAGCTGCTCCATCGCCCGCTGCTGCTCCTGCCGAATCTGCTCCCGCTGCAGCTTCACCCTCGCAAGCTGCCGCTCCATCTGAATCTGCTGTTCCTGCCCAGGCAGCTCCAGCCCCTGCTGCAGCACCAGTTGAGGTATTGGGAGATAATGATTTTTATTTTTAATTTTAATTTGTTAAGTCTGCACCTTCTCCTGCTGCAGCTCCAGCCGCTGCTCAAAGTCCTGCAGGCGCTGAAGGCGCTTCTGGTTATAGTGGTGCATCTCCAGCTGTAATATTAAACTTTACGATAATTAATTTTCAATTTAAAATTTAAAGGCTGTCAATGCTCCAGCACCCGCAGCTTCTCCAAAAGGCGGCTATTGAAAAGAACACGTTGTTAATTTGAAAAATACCAAAAAATTTAAACTGGAATAATCTGGCCGTTTAGGCCTCCAAAATTGAAAACAAAATACTTTTCATATAAAAAACATTTTTTGATTTGAGAGTTTAAAAGTTCTTTAACTCACTAAAAGATACACCCATAATTAGATACACCTTAATTTAAGACACTTTTTAGAATTTGGTTGGTAATGCTTAGGCATAACACTCTAAAAGATACCTACACCTCTTTATAAATTATAACTTTTTCAGTCCTTAATCCTTTGTTTATATTTAGATTCTTAAATCAAAAAAAATTTTTATATGAAATATAAATTTATTCTTCTTTTCTAAATTTTGGGGGCCTAATCGGTATTTAAATAAAGGCAATATACTAATTGCATTTAAAATTAATTGAATATTAATTAACCCCTAAATTTAAATACCCACAACGACCTCTTTTGCCCCCCCCCCCATCCCTCAATTATTTTTTATTTTTACCGTTCAAAAAAATATTTGTCAAATCTTTCCTTTGTTTTCTTTTTTCTCTCAATTATTTGTTTTTTCTTTGCCTTAATCTTGCTTTTGGTTTGTATACTTAAATAAAATAAAATTTTGATTTTTTTATTATCTTTTTTTTAAATTTAAGTGTTTAAACTAAAATATTAATTTTAGTATTTTTTTCTGAACGTTTCTTTTGATAACCTTTTTTTCAAAATTAAGATCTTAAAAAAGAAGCATAATCTTAAAATCTTATAACATTTAGAACCATCCCTGATCTTATAAATAAAAGAAAATTTTAGTATTCATCTGCGCGTGACTTCCCAAAATGAGAAAACTCATTTCCTCCAAATGTCACTCACAGCCTTCTACATATGTCAAATTTACATTTTTATTAGCCAATTCGCAAGAAAGTTTAATTGAATTCTGTTGATATCTCTCGAATCAGACTTCCTTAAGAGTTGTAGAAATGAATTTTTACGTGACGATTTATTGCAGATGGGGAACTGCTTATAATTTTTTAAGAACAAAACTGAAGAATTTTTAGATTTTGTCATTTAATAGAAAATTGAATAAAAACAAATATAAAATCATAAATAAATTAAAAATGTCCGAATTTTGTGCCACCCTTTACAAAATATATTTGGTTTTGCATCAAACATTTAAGCTGGACAATAAATAACATCAATGGGCGAACAAATTAAGCTAAAAGTGTGTGTTGAAGTATGTGTGTGTGGCGTAAATTTAAATAGGCGTAAAGCTGCATATACTTTAATATTTGAAATTTTAGAAATTTATTAAATTTTAGAAAAATAGTTGAACCTCACTCACACCCTAACATCTTAAATGTTATGTTTTTTAACCTTGTGGGTAGAGTATGTTCGTATACTTAAAAAAATTATTAAAGAATTAATATCGCATACTTAAACTTTTTTTTCAAATTAATTTAAAATAATTATTTAAAATTCTTTTAATTACTTTTATTTCCCTTTACATTTTTTCCTGAATTTTTTTTGTTATTTTAAATGGCTCCCTCCCTTTTATATATTTTTAACTCAAATGTTTTGCCAAAAATAGAAAAAGGAAATTTGAATTCCATTAAATTTAGTTAACAATCAATGTGTAGAAGAGAAGCAACAACTACCTATTTATTTTTATAAATGTCCGAAAATTTAAAAATTTTAAAATTTCAAAAATTAAATAAGTACTATGCTTAAGTATTAAAGTCAAATCTCATTTTTGGATACCCTGAGGGGCTGAAAAAATTGTACCTTATATTGAGGCTTAGTCAGAGCTCCTCGACCCTAACCAAATTTAAAAAATAATACAAATCGATGTTTATCTAATATTGGACGTATCTGTAAAAAATTTTCTGATTAGTAGACTACCTGTACTTACTTTAATAAATACTAATAATTTAAAATAAATAAACATAAATTTTCTTAAAATAATATTTATTTATTGTTTTTTCATAAAGATTCATGCTTTCCGAGCATAGTAAATTTCCTCTTTTAAACTTTCAAAGTGACAATTTGCTATGCCAATTTACATCAATTTTTTAAGTTCATTTTTGTGGATCTATTCTCTAAATTTCTTTTTTCTTCTTTCTGTTGTTTTTCCAACAACTTTTTTTTAGTTTCCCTGTGGGAATTTTAAAAAATAAGGGGAAAGTGAGGGGACAGTTTGCGTAAAAATAGCAAATTTGTGCCGTATGTTCAAATACTTTTCTTTTCCAAAAAACCTTTTTGGCTGTTAGCCTTTCTTTTTTCAATGCCACCACCTAAATAGTATATACGTATTTACACTTATCTCCCCCTATCTAAACTGGAGCTTTAAATTCTCTTTTATTTTTTTATTGTTAAGTAAAATCAATTGCAAAAATAAAATTTTATTTTGCTAAATTAAATTTAATAAATTAATAAATTGCAAGGGAATTCTTAATTATTTTATATGTTGTTGAACCTCACTTTTAGATGCCCTTTGAGACTAATAAATTGTTAAGACAAATGATTAGTCTAGACACCCTCCCCACGCCAAAGGTCAACCAAATTTTAAAAATTGATCTTAAACTGAGGTGTATTTACTGTTCTAAGGTTTGACTGTTATATAAAATTAATATGTCAAAAATTTCATTTTTAATTCCTTTAAATGTTTTTAAATTCTTTTCTTTAATTTAGAGCTTTCAATAATCATAATCTTTAGTATATGTATAATCAAATATTTCTTTGTTAAAACATAATCATTAAAATTCTGTGATATATTTTTATTTTAAATAATTTTAAAAAATGGGAGACACAGACAGCTTTAAAGATTTACAAAATCTATTAGATAATGTAGAGAAGGTATTAATAGATTAATTTAACATATAAATATGCTGAAATAATTACCCTCTGTCTCAAATAATTACTCCCCCCCCCCATCGAAACAATAATTACATAGGGCGATTAATTTAGCATATGCGGCAATTTAATTAATTTTTAAAGTTAAATTCCTGGCGTAAATATGCTCGTCTTGTTCTTCCACACGTTGGACTTGTTCTGTAAATAAATAATTAAATAAGTCGAACCTCACTATAGATAACATATCTCAATTCAAAATATTTTCTTTAAATTTTGTTAAGCATTGGATAGGAAGGAGATACCCTATATTTAAGGTACCTCTCATTTTAAGATACAAGTTTATTCAATACTGAGGTTCGTCAGTATTTACTAATTTTTTTTTAATTTTATTAAATTAGTGTTGTTTGTATTTATGCAATGATTGGTGCTTGGATATTTCATAGTATTGAATCACCACATGAAGATAGGGTAGAAAAAATAATTAAATATTCAGTTAATTTTTTGAATAAATTTAAGTTAAAAATTAATGGAATTAAAAAAGTTCAAGAATTAAGACGAAGTTTAGCCAAAGAAATTTTAAATAGAAAACAAAAATTAAATAAAGAACAACGCAAATGGATAGAAGAAAGAAAATTATTTTTAAGGAAGTTTGGAGAACAACTTTTTCATGTTTATAAAGAACAATATGTTAGGTAGGTGAAAGATTTTGTAAAAAAGTTTTCTCAACTATTGGAAAAATTTTTATTGGTAATTTTCTTATTAATAATCAGAACTGGATCCTATTCGAATTACGTCAAGTTCAGCTTCTGGAAGGTGTCAAATGCCAGTTGCTGAATTCTTATTTAATATTCAATCTGACCTCACTAAGAGTATTCCTACACCTTTTCCTAATTCAGCTCTGAGGTTTAAAAAGCTCCCGGGGCCATACCCAGTAATGTTTGTTAGGCTGCCTAAGCCCTTAAGACACCTCATTATAGGATACCATTCCCTAAAAGGCATCTCTTATAGTGAAGTACATGTTTTTTGTAAAGGTATGAAGATGTTCGTCCAGCTCTGACACTAATTCAACAACAACAACAATTGTCGAGTACAATAACTCCACATTTAGATCCACGATTTAGGCGGCATTTTTCTAAATCTCGTTCAGAAGGTAAAATGTGGACACCAAGTAGTGCTTTATTTTTTGCTGCTACAACAATGGCCACAATTGGATATGGTGTTTTTATTTAAATATTTTAAAGTAAATATTTATTCCAATAAAAAGGTAATATAGTCCCTATGACAAATCAGGGAAGAATTGCTTGTATTATTTTTGCTCTTTTTGGTGCTCCTTTAGCTATTATGTTAGTAAATTAATTTTAAATTAACTTAAAAATATATTTAGAACAATTGGTGATTTGGGTAAATTCCTTTCTGAATGTACAATTTGGCTGGTAATTCTTTAACAATATTTCTAATAAATATACTTGGACTTTATTAAAAGATACCCCTTGAATGAGATTTATCTTAAATAGGTCTTGCTTAGATATAGTCTCCTTACTAAACTACACACAGGTATTTATCTAGTATCAGATAACCGGTAAATGTCAGGTTGGTGTCCTACCTGTCCGCAAAAAGTACGTACTTTTCTTTCTTGCCATTTTTCCTAACTGTTATAATATGCCTTTTGGTACTTTTGCGGAAATTAGGACACCAACCGGACATTTACCCAGATAACCTTATGGGGATGTCTGACTGTATAATTATTGAGAAAAGACATCTGTTAAAAATTTTCCAATTTAATAAATTTATTTAAATTTAATTTTCTAGTATCGACACTCTAAAGATAAATATCGTTTTTATCGTTATCGAATTAGCCAGTCATTAATGGCACATAGATCTAATCAAAGAAGGCGTCTAAAAGGTGAAAATATTTAAGTATTTTTAATAAAGAAATTTATTTTTTAAAGAGGATTTTATCTCTGGAGAATTAGCAGGAGATTTAGAGATGGGAAATAATAACAACGCTGAGGATCTTAATTCTTGGGATGAAAATCATAAAACAGAATCGAAAAAAAGAATGAATGACTGGGAATATCAAGTAGTTAACTTTAAAAATTAATTTATTTTGCAGTCGAGCCATAAATAAGTTACACTCTTGGGACTAAAAATTTTTTATTTCAATGATTTTAAATACGGGGTTGCCCCTCGGTGACCATCTAAATTTTAAAAAATTTATCTTAAATTGATTTGTATATAATATTGGGTGTATCTTGTAGTTCGGTTCAATTGTATTTGAATAAATTCTTCTAGGACAAATCAGAAACTGAGGTTCCAGTGATTGTTGTTTTTGCTATTTTATTGGTTTTTAATAAAAATATTCTTTAATTATTTTATTATTTTTAGCTTTATATTGCATTTGGGGGCTTTTTATTTGCCTTACTAGAATCCTGGACTTATATGGATGCCTTTTATTATTGTTAGTTATTTAGGTTTTGATTATTAAAAATTTATTTTTTAAGGTTTTGTTTCTCTTACAACAATTGGTTTTGGTGATTTTGTTCCAGACAGACATGAGTTTAACTTTAATATTTAATTAAATATATTAGGGAATATTTAAAGATATATTGTTATAATGCTCCTTTATTTGGGTATTGGATTGGCTGTTACAACTATGTTATTTTATTCTAAATAATTCATTAAAATGCTTTATTTTTTAGGTGTATCGACCTGGTTGGCGTTCAATATATTCAAAAGTAAGTTCAATTAGATAACCCAATACACCTCCACGGGGAGAGGTCTGCCTAAGTGATACCCTCTTTTTAAAAATACACCTCTTTATAAGCTGCAATTTTTCGGTTCTAAGGACACACACAACTCCACGGGGAGCGGTCTGGGGAGCCAAGGAATATCATATGTTGAGATCCGACTATTGAAAATATTTGATTTCCCTAAACTTTTACTATTATTTTTTTCAGGATTCACTATTTTGGACGTAAATTCCAAGGCACAGATATTCTTCAAATTCTTCGGCGTAAACGAATGTTGGAGAGGCGTTTTGCTATGGGTGAGGGGAAAGAATTTATTGAATTTGTTATTAAACATGAAAGAGAGTAAGTTGATTTTAATAAAATATATTTTAAATAAATTATTTTAATTAGAGCTTTAAATCCTTCACAACAAAGGGCAATATTTGTCCAACCTTCTCATCATATAGTCAGTCATTTACATGAAATGGATCAGCCTGAAGATGGAAAATTATCTCTTCAATCTGAAAAGGAAGCAGCTTGGCTAGAACAAGTAGTTATTGTTTAGGGAATTGTTGGGTCATTTTTGGTTTTGTTATCAAAGTCCCCTTTTCACAATGAATGACTCCGAATAAAAGTTGCGGATTTTGGGAATTAACCGAAAAGGACCGAGAAATTTCTTTTAAAAATCTTTTATAAACTTACTTTTTTAAAGGATACGCAACAAGAAAGCGAATTAGTTTTAGCTACAGAATTAATGCCTACAGTCCTTGAACCCGAGCCTTTACCAAAAAGGTCACCTACAATAACACCCTCTTCAGAATCAGAACGCTCATTGTACATATTTACAAAGATTTTATTTATTAAAAAAATTTTTTTCCAGAATGTATAGTCGGTTAAATAATGACAGATTAAATTCTTGGGCAGAGTCTGGACCTACTCCTTCAATTAAAAGTTCTCTTCTTAGTACAGAACCTTCAGTAGAACATCGACAACAAACTTATCAAAACTTTATTTCTCCACAGCCTTCGCTCAATTCATTTGCCTTTAATTTCCCAATTCCTTCACCCGATCTCAGACAAATTGGTTAATTTCTTTAAATTTAATAAAAAAAATCCTTTCAATTTTTAGCCGAAACAGCTCGTACTAGAAGAAGATTGGTCAGTTGCCCGTCTTTCCCTTCATATCCTGTTGAACTATCTCTTGTAAGGAGCAATATAAAATGGCGTAAATGGCGCACTATAGCCTGTCCTTCGCTTGCTTTTGTTGAATTTTTGTGTTTAACTAAAAATTGTGTTGTTAATTTGTTTGTCCAACAATTTAATACTAACAATTATTTTGAGAAGGAGGATTTAGGAGATTTTATAGTGGAAGAGGATTTGGAAGGAAATAATGCTCTGTTAAGTATACACAATTCAGAAATTCTTTCAAGAAGGGCATCCATTTGTTTTCTTGAAATTTTACATGTAAATTTATTTTTTTGAGAGATAAGGGTCTAAAACCTCTCTCTTATGTTTAAGGCCCCAAAAGCACAACTTCCTCGCTTTGTTGGACAACCAGTTTGGTATTACAAACGTAGGAGGAGTTTGCAACAGCTTGAGGCAAAACAACATCAAAAACAATTATTAGAACAACAACAAACAAATCCAGACTCTCCTACCCAAAAAACAACAAAAATAATCCCTCAATCAGAAAACTATCAACCAATCCTTAGAAGAAAAAAACGTGAAAGATTAGCTAAGAGGTATGATCCTCTTATTAGATTTGATTGGCTAGCATTGAGTCCTCGTATTGCTGTTACTGAAGAGGGCATTCCGGCAACTATGGAACAAATCACTGAAAGAGCTCAGGAATTGACGGAAATGCAATGTATGGGAAACTTTTTTTAATTACGGACATATTAAAGTATTTTCTTAAAAATTTCGTTGAAAGCGTGGAGGGATACGGGTGATTTCCACTATCCTTACCTTAACCAATTCTTTTCCTAATCAGGAAGACTTAAAATTTTCTTTAATATAAATTTAAAATTATGTACATATATGCTAATAATAAATACTCATAATAATTAATTAACAAAATAAAATCTTTTTGTAAAGATCTTCCAAAACAATTAGCTACAGAACATCCCGTATATCAACACATAGCAGAATTAGAACATCAAACAACAGAAAGCACCACAAGTAATTTAAAAGGAAGTATTAATTTATCAGAAAAGCCAACTTCAAGCAGAAATTCATTTGAATCTTTAACCCTCGGTTTAAAAGCTATAAATAAATGGAAAGGAAAAAGAAAATCTGTTGCTGAACATTTTTCTTATGTTCTTCCTTCTTCTTCTAAAAAATCTTTAAAAATAGTAAATAAAAATGAAAGAAGAATGTCTCTATGTCCAATGATTACTTCAAAACGTTTAGAAGAAGAATTTAAAGAAGGAAGGGAAAGATTAAATTCTAATTTATCTACAAGTTCTACACCTGCAACTGGAAGGGAAATTAAGAGGAATTTAAAAGACGAATTTAGACAAAATTCAAAAAGTTCTAATAAATTTGGGTTGCAAAGAAAAAATTATTTGATTAAAGAGAATTTAAAGAAAGTTGGAAGTTTGGATTTAAATTTATCTAAAAATGAAGAAGAAAAAGAAGGAGAAGAATCAACATCTTTATTAAATGCTAGTCCAAAAGAACCCTCTACTTCAACAAAAAATTCAAAATATTTTTGAATTTGTAAAAAAATATTTTCTTACTTCCTTTCTAATTTATACACTTATAATTTCAGAAATTTCTAACTCTTTTGTTCATCTTCTTTGTTGTTTTTTAGCTTAAGTTTTTCTCTAGGGTATAATTTATAATTTAAAATACCTCTTATTTATAACTTTTCTGAAATTTTGAAAACTTTGATGTTCATTTCCCCTTTGGGGATAACTTTAAATATTTACTAACTTTTTACTTTATTTTTCTTTTTATTTTTAAATAAAAATTATTTGTTTGTGTTGTCTTTTTAAATAATTTTAATTATTGTTTATTTGTTTTGTTTGCTAATCGCTTCTTTAGAAAAACTAATACTTGAAATACTCACACACATTTAAATGTTATGCTAATAATTAATTGTTGCTTTAATTAATGCTCTTCTTCTCTACTAACAAATAATTTTTAAATGGTTTGTCGATTACGCGCTTAATTTAATTTTAATAAATTATTAATTATTTTATTAAATTAAGGCGCCTCCTGTTGAATTAGAAAAAGCATCTGAATTAGTTCACATTCCTTTTGTATTGGACCTCCCTCCAAGTCCACCCCCTCCAGAACCTGAACCTCCTTCAATGAAGACAGAAGTATTACCTACAATAAACAAAGCAGATGAATCTATTGTTGAAGATCCAAAACCTTCTAATGTTGAAGAAGCGTTGCCTCCAATTGCTAGGGCTGTTGTTATGGTTGGGAGGGGGAATTAATTTGTAAAGGAAAATAAAAATAATTTTTAAAGCATGAACAAGTTGGAGAGCAAACTAAGGATTCAAGTACTGAAGCTCAAGTAGCTCAGGTAAATAGCCGAGCTTTCTTTTTTTTGAAAAATTTTAAGTTCCTTAAATAAATTTAGAGATTATTGCCTTCATTTACTCCTTCCGATATGTTAGGAATTACAAAATCAGAAATGACACGACTTTCCCCCGAACAGTTTGTGAATGAACAACAACACCTTTTATTGCCTGAAACTGTTCAAGTAAAGAAAAAAAATTATTTTTTTAAGTCCTCTTCCTTCTTTCAAAGGCTTCTGTAGATGAAAATGCCCCAGAAGAAACTACTTTCTCTTCTGCTGATGAATGGGATCGTTTAATGAATTTAGCATCAACAGAGCAACTTCCAAATATTGTTAGTTATGTAAGAAAAATGATTTCTGATGTTCCTCAAGTAAAGAAGAAATTTAAAATAATTTTTAATAATTATATTTAATAAATAAATAGATTCCTTCTTTGGAAAGACTTTCAATATCTGAAGAAGATGAATTAATATTTTTTGCTGATACTGAGGCAGAGGAAGAAGAACCCGCTTTCGAAATTGATTTGGGTGCTTTTGAATTAGTTGATGCTGGAATAAGTGCAGAAGTGAATTTTAATTTAATATATTTTTTGTATTGGAAAATGCTCTAATGCTTAATTTTAAAAATAATTTCAGGAATTACTAGCCAATGAGGACCCTGTAATTTACCATAGAGACATGCCTGTCCATTCTGTTCATCATGATACTGTTCAGACAGAGGCAGCCATTCAAAATTTAATGAATGCTTCTCAATCAATGTTATCCTCCCAAGTAAAATTAATTTTAAAATTGAAGTAAAGTTTAAAAAACACAATAAAGATTCCACCAACAATGGTTGCAGATAATTATTGTTTTGCCGTGGATGCTGATAAAATTCAAATGGATGATGTTTTGGGTGATGAACATTGGTGGAAACACACATCTAGACCTACTAAATATTTTTATAGGTTATTCTAAGGCCAAATACTATTAAGACAAATACGGTATTTTCATTAGAGCCCGGTCCAAGACGAGTTCTCGATAGAAAATCTTGGTTATCAAAATCGAGATTATTCGAGATCTCGATTCTCGTACGACCTTCTCAGTCCGGTCTCTAATTGTAATTATTCTATTAAAAATTCTGACAACCTTGCTTAAATATCAAGTTGGATTAACAAGATGTGAACAAAACTTAGATTTAAAATAATTCTTTTTTTAAATTTTTAGTGAAGATCTTCGCCACTTTTACCGAGTTAATTTATTAACTAGTAGAGGCAAAATTATTTCTGCTCGATTAGCCAATACAACACCAGCAATGGGAGGTGCTGGTTCTGTTGCAGAAATGTTGCCACCAGAAATGTCTCAACAACAGAGAGGAGATTTTGGACAAACTTCCTCTTTTTCAATGCCAAATACGGCAAGACGTTCCTTAACTTTTTGTACTGGAAGTGCTGGAAGGCCTTCTTTTGGTGTTTATTTGAAAAAAACATTTCTAAATTTATTTTAATATAAAGCAATTCCTTCTCTTGATCCTTCACAAATTATTCCCCCTAATGTTTTACCTTCACTTTCATTATTTCCATCAACTAGCGGATTTGTTGGTAGACATTCTATTGCCCCTTTTTCTTCTTCTTCTACTAGTCAACAACAACAAGATCAACAAGTTAATTAAAAATAAATATTCCGATTAATTTCCAAATTTAAGATTACTCCAACATCTGGAGGTCCTTGGAAGCAACCGGAAATGGCACAACGTGGAGAACCTGTAGATTTGAGCAAAGTTTATAGGCAAAAAGATTTTATTTTAAAATAAAATTTCTTGTCTGGGATCTTGCCTTTCTCCTTATAATTAAGCCCAACCTCACTATTAGATAACTCAATACTAGTTAGACCTCTATTTAATGAAAATTTTTAATTGGTTACCCCTGGGTGGGGGAGCTGCTTAAACTATACCACATATGTATGTCTCTTTATAACAACCAGATTAAATATCCTATAAAATTAATTTTTCTAGAGTTGTTCGTTTCTATTCTTTTTGGCGTACTTGTACATCATTCCACCGTATTGTAACAATGATTGAAGTAAAATTTACTTTCAACCAATTTATGTAAAAATTTCTTAATTTAAAGAGAGTAGGGCAACCTCCTTCAGACACACAAACACATGGAGGATATAGTCCAATAAGTGGAGTAAATCCATTTGGGGAAGGCCCTTCAACAGCAACAATAAGTTCTGTTCAATCAGACAAATCAGATTCTTCTTCTGCTGCTAAATCTACAAGGCCGAGTTCTTCGCCTTCTCGGAGCATTCCAGACTTTCAAAAACGCCGTTTATTTGTTCAATATTTGTGGAAGAATATGTTCCGTTAAATAAATTAATTTTAAAATAATTTTTAAATTTTATAGTAAATCATCAGATAAAATACGTGTACAACGTGAATTTGATCCGAGAAGACAAAGACTTTTAAAATGTGTGGCCGATTCTGCAGCCAGAAAAAGAGTTGAAAAAATAATTTTAAAAATAAAATTATTAACTTTTATTTTTAGATGACTGGGGCTAAATCACAGTTTAGAAGTGGAAGTGCTGGACATTCTATGGAAAAACATTCGCCTCATCATTCAAGATTGGTTAGACAAAGTTTTCTTAAAAGGAGAAATAATAGAGTGTATTTATCTGTTGGAGTTTATTTTATAAGCTCCTTTATTCTACTTGACCTAATCAACTTTGTTGAGTTTCCATAAAAATCGTCAAAGTCCCTCAAAATGCCTATAAGTTGTAAAAGCGTTTTGAAAAGTTCGTTTTCTCCTAGATCAGAAAATTATTTCTGCGTACCATTAAGACAATTAACAAAAAAAATAAATTTTTAAGATAATAGTCTAAATTTTTTCCACATTTTATGAAAAATTGCCCTTTTTCTAATTTTTCCTATTAGCAACCAACACCACCAAATCAATCCCCAGCACCTAGAAGTGGCTCTATTCGTTTCCGACTTCCACCAGAAGGTCCCCCAACTTCAAGTACTTCATCATTAGATGCTCCATCTACTTCTTTTACTCGTCGATTACCACGCCCTCGTTCTTCTGCAGCTTCACCTTTAAGACGTGCTAAAACAGAAAATGATGATAATAATGAAATAAATGAAAGTAATTCTTCTAAAAGAATTAAAAGTACAAGTAGTAGTAGAAGATCAACAGAATCAAATAAATCATCCCCTAGAAGATGAAAAAAATTTTTATTTTAAATTTAATTGATACCTCTGTTTTTGTTTTTATTTATTTTGTATTTTTAATTTAAATATTCTGTGTATATTTTTAAATTTATTATTCTAAGCACAATAAAATTTAGTAAATTAAATATAAAATTAGTATACTTACATAATAATTACTAATATAAATTTGGACCTCACTATAAAATATTCTTAATTTAATTGTATTTTTTAAAGTTGACTGGACATTGAATGGGGCCACGGGTTATATGTTATAGGAGGTCTGATTCTAATACTATTAATATTTTTAAAAATTTATTTATAATATTAAAAAATTATTTTTACAAAAATAAATTTAAAAAAAAATTTAAATTTAATATTCATCCTTATTATCTTGTGTACTTTTCGGATCATTTAAATTTAATGCAGCTGCATTTCTTATTGCATTATGAACTTTTGAAGCTATTTTCCCTTCAATATATTCAATGATTGCTTGATTTACTAATTTTTTTGTTTCTCTCTTAAAGTCTTCGTGATTGAAGCTTAAAAAGAATTTTTTAAATTTAATTAACTTCTTGCTTGAGTCAAAGGGGTTCTAGTCAAGATTCAGGGCGGCAGGATCAAACAGGGTCCGGATCCAATTCCAATTTAAAATCAACAAAAAACCTTTCATCTCTTTCACCAAAATAATTTTCAAAAAATTCCTCATTTTCGTTCAAATAATTTTTTTCAATTTTTTCATGTTTTTCTTTACATTCATTAAAATCTTTTCCAATTAATTTATTATTTTTTCCCAAATTACAAATAAATGCAGCCATTTCCAAAATCATTAATTTTCCAAATATTTTTTGTGTTTCCATTTCATTTAAATATTTATTTATTAATTTTTGGAAAATTTTTTCAATTAAATATAAAACAATTTCGTTTTGAAAAAATTTAATTTTTTGTTTTTCCATTTTTGGACTTTTTCCGTCCTTTGGACTTTTTATTAATAATTCTTTTTGTTTATCTTTATTCAAAATTATAAATAATTTTGATTTTTCTTTTTTTATTTCTTTTGACGCTTCTGCTTCTTGTAAATTTGTTGTTAATTTACCTAAAATAAATATATATGTACTAGGGATATACCCAACCCGATTCCCGAAAATCGGGAATTCCCCTCGTTTTTCGGTCGGGATCCTGAGTTCCCGGATTCGGAAATTTATTTCTATACTGACTAGATCCCCGATATTTACATTCTCTACGATAGCTCTCTTAAACTTTGGTTTTCCAATGAATGAGGGGTTGCTTAAACGTTACCCTCTATGTACATTATAAAATAAAATTTTTCCATCCTTAAGAGGGCATTTGATAATAATTTCTTACTATCATTTGTTTCTTCTGTTGAAATTTCTTTTCCCTTTAATTTTTCACTCGGTCCAGCTTCTGTTTCTTCTTCTTCAATTTTATTATTATTTAATGAAAATTCAGGATCTGACCACCATCCTTTTTTCTTTAATTCCTTTTTAAGTTGACTACTTTCATCGGAAAGAAAATTTTCTGCATTATTTATATCAAGCAATGTGTGAATATTTGTTAATTCGCCTACTTCTATGTTGAATGGACCTATAAATTTTAGATAAGGGAGGGGAAGGGGGGCTTTTTTGGTAATTAAAATAAGTCCTCAAAAAAAGTCTCCACCTTCATATTTATCTCCAAAAATTTCATTTTCTTCCTCTTCAATTAATTTAAAATTTAAGGGCCAGGGTCTCTGTTTCATTATTCTCCAAACTTCATCATTTCCAAATTTTCCCAAAATATTTTTTACTCTTTTTATATAATTTTTAAATAAATTTCCATTTATTTTAATTGAATTTTCTGTTTCTCCTTTTCTTTTAGCAATTAATTCTTTTTCCTCATTACTGAGCTTTTCTGGGGTAAATAATTCTTTAAATTCTGGAATATTTAAAGGAAATTCAAAAAATTGATTGAGAAAAGCAAAAAGGGCAAAATCAGCCTTTAAAATAAAAATGAAATTCTGAATTTTATTTAATCAACTTACCAAAGTTGGATTATTTCCATGCAAAAAATTATTTTTACCCTCTGCCTCGGTTTTAGCCTCTGCCTCAGTCAACTTTTTTATTATCCCCAACGATTTTATTTTATCTTTAAATTCATTAAATACTTCAACTTCATTAATATTTTTCCCAGTAATCTCTCTCAACTTTAAAAAAATCAGAATTTAAATCAGAATTTAAATAAACCCTTACCCTTTTTTCCCAACAAAAAGGCATTTGACTATCAACAATTAATTTCTTTAAAATATCATTAATTGTATTTTTCAAAGCATAATTTACACGTTCCCAATCTTCATAAATTCTAGCATTAACTCCAAAATATTCTTGAAGAAAATTTATTTTCAATAAATTAATTTCTTCTCTATTTTCCCTTCCATTTATTTTTATTTTATTTAAAATATTAAAATAATCTTTCCACAATTCTGGACTTAACGTCATTTTAATAGAATATTTAATTTTAGATATTTTTGTTTCATCACTTTCATCATCTTCCTCCTCTTTTTTTGATTTCTTTTCATTTTTATCTTTTACAGGAGAATCAAAAAATTCATCACTCATACTTTCTTCTTTAGAAATGTTAATTTGAATTTCTGGATCTAAAAAAGGGGTTATTTTCCGTTATACATCTAAAAATCCGCACGTCTTAGAAAATAAATAGTCAGACTTGCGGACTTTTAGTAGCAAAATACCCACCTAAGAAAGCTTCTGGAATAACTGGAATTAATTGTTCACGAACTCCTTCATCTTTTAACATCCAATCAAGACCACCCGGACCTTTCTTTGCAGAATTATTATTATGTAATTTTAAATGAGCAATAGTTCTAGAAAGAAAAGAACTTCCAGGAGAATGCCCCTCAGATTTTGCCATCATTATTTCTTCGTTTTTAGCATGAGGGATTTTAATATCAATTGGACTAAATTTCTTTCTTATAGAGATTCCACCCTTTGGCGTTGCTGGTGCTGAAGATGAGGCTAGTTGTGTTTCGGAATTATTTTTTGGAATTGTTGCAGAGGGAAGATCTCTCCGAAATGTTCTATCAGTAATTAGAGTCCTGAAAATTTGTAATTAGCTAACAAAATTGACAAGGATCCTTTCCAGCGATACTCCAAGAAATGTGTGTGGTATTTGTTAGAGATCGGACGTAAGTGCAAGGTTCTTACAGTCCGATTTAGCAAGGCTCTTTAGCAAGGTCGTCGAGATATCTCTTAAAATTTCGATTCTCAATAATCGAAATTTTTGTTCTGGATTTAGTCTCGGTCCGGTCTCTAGTTTAGATTATTCTACATCGGCTGATGTGAATTTTCTTTTGTGTCTTTCCACACACAGATTCGGGAATTAAACTGTGGATTTTCTAAAAACATAATTTAAATTTTTAATACTTTAGCAAGGTTCTAGTTGCAAATTTTCTAATATTATCATCATGTTCATCACTCAATCTTTTATTTCCCCTTTTTTTAACTTCTTCAATTATTTTTTCTGCTCCATCCAAATATTTCCCGTTATAAATAGCAAAAGGAATTGCTCCATCAGTTTTTGAACCAAGAAAGAATTGGTTACTTATTCTCTTAAATAAATGTTTATTTCACTATAAGGTAACCATTGAAGCTGGAAACAATAAAGGCCAGCTTCCTCCCCCAATGTTTAAGAATGTTATCTTAAATTGAGGAATATCTACTAGTATTGGGTGTATCTTATAGGGAAGGTTATCGAAATTTTAATATTATTACATGAAAAGGAATTCCTTTCCAAGTTAAAACAGCTTCAACATAAAGACACATTGCTCCAAAATATGGGGCATTTGATGTTCTAGGAAAAACAAAAAGATAAAGCGTATCTTCCTTGGCATATCTGTCCTCAACCAGAAGATGTTCTTTATCCAGTGTTCGTAATTTTAAAAGACCTAAATGTTTTAAATTTATATTTTATTTTAATTGTTTAAATTTAAAAAGAAAATATTTTCAATTGCTTAAAAAACAATCTATACTATACGTTACTTCTATAGATACCCATTAATTTAAACTACATTTTTAAATGGATTTTCCTTCTAAATATTTAAGCAATATTTCATTATATTATACTTTTACAGCCCCAAGGAGGTCACTTATAGTGAGATATACATATCTACGTTCATTAATTTTCCTGAATAAAACAATTTAATAACTTACAATCAACAGAAGAATTTAATAAAACAAACAAAATAAAAGACAATAATTTAAACATTAAATAATATTTTAATTAAAAATATTTTTGTTAAATTAAAAATGAATATTTTAAATCAAAATTCAATTCTTTATATATTCATTAATTTAATAAAATAAATTCACATGTTAAAATCATTGTAAATACAAAGAATGCCCTTTTAATAAATAAAAGGACAGTGCCGCCTTTGAAAAAAACTAAAAATACTTTTATTTCGTCGCTATAAAAAGTGCAAAGTTAAATAAGGATATTTTTAAAAATAATTTTTTGTCTTTTGACTTTAATTCTTTGAGAAAATTTTTAAATAAAAATTTTAAAAGTGCAAATAAAATATAATTTTGAAATTTTTATTTTGAAAATTTGTTTATTTTATATTTTAAATTAATTAATGTTTATTTAAAAAAAGATATAATTAATTATTTAAATATTCCAGAAAGATATTTTTGGATGCAGAAAAATGCAGATATTTGGCTAAATTTAAATATAAAAATTGATAATATTATTTAAAAATAATTTTATTAAAATAATTTTATTCATTTTAAATAAACATTGTTTTTAAATTATGTCATAATATTTTTAAATAAATATATTTATCAAACTTGACTGTCTAGAATATCTGAAAATTATTTTTAAATTAAAATAAATTTTTTTCCAAAAAATACAAAAATGGAAACGGAAGAAAAATTTTGGCTAAATTCGATATCCCCCGTCCCTAAATTTTTTTTTGTTTCGGATTATTTCCAAAAAAATCTTTTTCTTCTTTTTTTATGTAAATATATTATTATTAAACTAGTTGTGCCCATTGGGGTATGGCGGTAAGTTACGTATGCACTGAATTTAATAGGCGGAGCCTTTGGTTACGATACTTTTGCCCGTTGGAAAGCCTAACGGCTTTGGGGCGCGCTTCGCGCGCTGCTAGAATCGGTAACATTCGCTCTGCCTTTTCATTGCTCCGGGCCTTCGGCCCTCGCCGGTAAAGTTTAGCCTTGCCTTTTCATCGCTTCGGGCCTTCGGCCCTCGCGATTCGTTTTGGGATGGGTCTTAAGCTCGGGCCTTCGGCCCTCGTGTTTCGTTTTGCGATGGGTCTTAAGCTCGGGCCTTCGGCCCTCGCGTTTCGTTTTGGGATGGATCATAAGCTCGGGCCTTCGGCCCTCGCACGGCGGGCCTCCGGTCCGCCGTTTGGGGGCCTTCGGCCTTCGGCCCCCAAACCACGCACACCCAAAAGTTTGACTCAGCCGTTGCCCTCGCGATTCGTTTTGGGATGGATCTTAAGCTCGGGCCTTCGGCCTTCGCGATTCGTTTTGAGATGGATCTTAAGCTCGGGCCTTCGGCCCTCGCGATTCGTTTTGAGATGGATCTTAAGAACGGGCCGTCGGCCCTCGCGATTCGTTTTGAAATGGGTCTTAAGCTCGGGCCTTCGGCCCTCGCAATTCGTTTCGGGATGGGTCTTAAGCTCGGGCCTTCGGCCCTCGCAATTCGTTTCGGGCTGGGTCTTAAGCTCAGGCCTTCGGCCCTCGCGATTCGTTTTGGGATGAATCTTAAGCTCGGGCCTTCGGCCCTCGCACGGCGGGCCTCCGGCCCGCCGTTTGGGGCCTTCGGCCCCAAACCACGCACACCCAAAAGTTTCCTCGGGCCTTCGGCCCTCGCGATTAGTTTCGTGATGTGTCTTAAGCTCGGGCCTTCGGCCCTCGCGGTTCGTTTCGGGATGGGTCTTAAGCTCGGGCCTTCGGCCCTCGCGATTCGTTTCGGGATGGGTCTTAAGCTCGGGCCTCGTGCCCTCGCACGGCGAGCCTCCGGCCCGCCGTTTGGGGGCCTTCGGCCCCCAAACCACTTACACCCCAAAATTTCCCCTTTTGTAACTTTGGACAAAATGGTCAGAAAATTCCAGAAAAAATATTTTCATGCTCAGCTTGGTAAGGGCTTTCGATTGATATCACATTTGCCCTATTTAAATTTATTCTGCGAAAAAAATTTTTTTGGCCGAAAATTTCGACCGAAAAATTCGAGCAATTTTCAAAAAATCATAACTCGCTAAAAATTGACCCTTTTGAAATATTTTAAAAGCTTAATATATAGTAAAAATTCTGCTCTATTTTATAAAAATATATTTAACCACGCTCAGCCTCGATATACCCCAGAAAATTTTAAAAACCCGAAAAATTTTGATTTTTCAAAAAATCGACCCTACCAGGCCTCGGGTGAAATTTTTCATAAATATAAATAGCTCAAAAAATTTGTAATTTTTTGCTCTATTTTATAAGCTTTAATTCGTTTGGCTACGACAAAAACTTACAAAGTTATGCCCAATTTAAATTTTCCCAAAAAATTTCAAAAGGGGTAAATGGGTCAAAAATTCGACCTTGAGAAAAATATGTTTTATAGTACTTCAATAGGTGCTGAACACGAATCTGAAATCCGTTTATTTTTAATAATTTTTAAAAAAAAGTTATACTCAAAAAACCGACCACTTTTGGCCCCAAAAATGCCACTTTATGCCCTATAACTTTCCCAGACTCAAGTGTACCCCCAACAAAGTATATATTTTTAGAGGTTTCAAGGGACGCTCTACAAGATAGGATACTCAAATCGAGTTTCAATTCACGCGTTAAAAAGTCGGTTTTGGCGAGGTCACTTTGGTACCCATAACTATGTCAGGAAAAAATCCCAGACTCAAGTGTCTCCCAACAAAATTGTAGTACATTTAGTGCCCTATTATACAAAAAAAGAGTTGAAACCATTTGCCCTCTCTTAAGCAATTTTATAATTACATTCGATGGGAGCCACCCTTCACGTTAGGGGTTTTGGACATTTTTGACATTTGGCGTTCTACAACTTTGTCCAAAATGGTCAGAAAAAATTAAACCAAATTTTTTCAGACTCCCCACATGGAGCTCTATCGAATGACATATAGTTTGAAAATTGTCGGTGATTTTCGTCGGACACCATGTGTCATTTTGGGACGAGATGTGCAATTTTTCCACGAGGCTACAGGTCGGAGAGTTGATCCGAGCCCTCCCAAATTTTCCTCGGGCCTTCGGCCCTCGCGATCCATTTTGGGATGGATCTTCAGCTCGGGCCTTCGGCCCTCGCCGGTAAAGTTTAGCCTTGCCTTTTCATCGCTTCGGGCCTTCGGCCCTCGCGATTCGTTTTGGAATGGGTCTTAAGCTCGGGCCTTCGGCCCTCGCAATCGACTTGGATGGGTCTTAAACTCGGGCCTTCGGCCCTCGCCATTCGTCTTGGGATGGATCTTAAACTCGGGCCTTCGGCCCTCGCGATTTGTTCTGGGATGGGTCTTAAGCTCGGGCCTTCGGCCCTCGCACGGCGGGCCTCAGGCCCGCCGTTTGGGGGCCTTAGGCCCCCAAACACCCTACACACGAAATTTCGACCTTTTGTAACTTTGTACAAAATGGTCAGAAAATTTTACAAAAAATATTTTTAAGCTCAGCTTGATGAGAGCTTTCGATTGATATAACATTTGACCTATTTTATGTCATTTTGGAAAAAATAAATTTTTGGCCAAAAATTTCGACCGAAAAATTCGAGCAATTTTTCAAAAATTCATAACTCACCAAAAATTAACCCTTTTGAAACATTTTAAAAGCTTAATATATAGTAAAAATTCTGCTCTATTTTATAAAAATATATTTAACCACGCTCAGCCTCGATATACCCCAGAAAATTTTAAAAACCCGAAAAATTTTGATTTTTCAAAAAATCGACCCTACCAGGCCTCGGGTGAAATTTTTCATAAATATAAATAGCTCAAAAAATTTGTAATTTTTTGCTCTATTTTATAAGCTTTAATTCGTTTGGCTACGACAAAAACTTACAAAGTTATGCCCAATTTAAATTTTCCCAAAAAATTTCAAAAGGGGTAAATGGGTCAAAAATTCGACCTTGAGAAAAATATGTTTTATAGTACTTCAATAGGTGCTGAACACGAATCTGAAATCCGTTTATTTTTAAAAATTTTTAAAAAAAAGTTATACTCAAAAAACCGACCACTTTTGGCCCCAAAAATGCCACTTTATGCCCTATAACTTTCCCAGACTCAAGTGTACCCCCAACAAAGTATATATTTTTAGAGGTTTCAAGGGACGCTCTACAAGATAGGATACTCAAATCGAGTTTCAATTCACGCGTTAAAAAGTCGGTTTTGGCGAGGTCACTTTGGTACCCATAACTATGTCAGGAAAAAATCCCAGACTCAAGTGTCTCCCAACAAAATTGTAGTACATTTAGTGCCCTATTATACAAAAAAAGAGTTGAAACCATTTGCCCTCTCTTAAGCAATTTTATAATTACATTCGATGGGAGCCACCCTTCACGTTAGGGGTTTTGGACATTTTTGACATTTGGCGTTCTACAACTTTGTCCAAAATGGTCAGAAAAAATTAAACCAAATTTTTTCAGACTCCCCACATGGAGCTCTATCGAATGACATATAGTTTGAAAATTGTCGGTGATTTTCGTCGGACACCATGTGTCATTTTGGGACGAGATGTGCAATTTTTCCACGAGGCTACAGGTCGGAGAGTTGATCCGAGCCCTCCCAAATTTTCCTCGGGCCTTCGGCCCTCGCGATCCATTTTGGGATGGATCTTCAGCTCGGGCCTTCGGCCCTCGCCGGTAAAGTTTAGCCTTGCCTTTTCATCGCTTCGGGCCTTCGGCCCTCGCGATTCGTTTTGGAATGGGTCTTAAGCTCGGGCCTTCGGCCCTCGCAATCGACTTGGATGGGTCTTAAACTCGGGCCTTCGGCCCTCGCCATTCGTCTTGGGATGGATCTTAAACTCGGGCCTTCGGCCCTCGCGATTTGTTCTGGGATGGGTCTTAAGCTCGGGCCTTCGGCCCTCGCACGGCGGGCCTCAGGCCCGCCGTTTGGGGGCCTTAGGCCCCCAAACACCCTACACACGAAATTTCGACCTTTTGTAACTTTGTACAAAATGGTCAGAAAATTTTACAAAAAATATTTTTAAGCTCAGCTTGATGAGAGCTTTCGATTGATATAACATTTGACCTAT